CTTTATTTTCTCATTCCAAGGGAAACATTTCTGTATCTTTTTAAAACAAGATAATTTTGCTTTGTCTCATTGGGGAATCTTGTTTTAAAGCAGTCAAAATATGCTTAAATTAAGACATTTTGCCAATTTTTTGCAATTGTTGACTTATTTGTCAACACTTTTTGCAGTGTATGGCTGTGTTTACATTTGCCTCAGCATATAGACAGAACAAACAGCAGATAAAGTGGATAAAATGACTTGTTAGTGCATACATTAACACAACAACAAAGCACAGCATTATTATTATACAGAAGCTGAATGACACATGCACAGAACCATCACTTTTCTGTGTCTTTAACAGAATCTGATGCTTTCCAGGCCTTAAATCTTCCTCCTTCAAACTTAACACATTTCAATTTTCATGTGTGTTAAGCGACCACTGTGTGTAACCAGCTAGATGCTAACCAGAGCCAGCGGTGTCGGGAATTAGCTGTTAGCCGTTAGCCGTTAGCATCTGTAATGAGCGTAACAAGGGGAGCAGCTAGCATCGTTAGCTACAAACACATTAGCACAGCTGCAGAGAAAACACACGGGCGAGGAGCACCTTTTCACGGCTGGATTGTGTCACTGCCGGCGGGGGTGTGAGGCCAGGGCGGCGGCTGGGGGGCTGCTGGTGTCCCTGTGTGGTGGTAGTCTTGTTGGGGGGGTGATTTCGCAGGTTAATTCGGCCGGAGGAGACCACAGAGAAAGCAGCCCGTGGGGTCCATTCTCCGCTCTGCTCTCTCTCCATCCGCTGCTCTCGGGTTGCCAGGTGTGCGGAGGGGAAGCACGCGATCGGGCATTCAAAAACAATATCTAAATAACTTTCTATATATCTATCTATCTATATACGTACTTAGATCCAAAACTTAACATGTGACAAAAGTACTCGTGTGAAGTATAAGTAGAAGTATAGATATTTGAAAGTAAATCTACTTCAGTAAAAGTATTAAAGTAATTAGAAAGTAATAAAGTCCATTCATCCATTTTCTCCCTCTTCATCCGTTGCCGGGTCAAGGGGGTAGCAGTTTGAGCACAGACTTCCCCCTCCACCCCTCCACAGACACCTCCTGCAGCTCATCTGGGGGAATCCTGAGGCGTTTGCAGCGGAGACCCAGACCTTCTGTGTCCTGGGTCTTCCCTGGTCTCCTGAGTCTGATGGGACATGCCCATAACCCCTGTCCAGGGGTTATGAGCATGTCCTTCACTCTAGAGCAGTGTCTCCCAAAGTGGGGTCCGCGGCCCCCTGGTGGGCCGCGAGGGTACTGCAGGGGGGCCGCGGGAGGTCATAAAAATATATATATATATAATTATTTAATGTTAAATTTATAATGTTTTGTTTGTAATATTAAAATATTTGTGTTCATTATTTGACTTGAATAATCCACTGTAATCATTTTTGTATTACAATGTTTGTAGCAGAGGCTATTTCCCCAAAATAAAATAACCAGAAGAGCCTATTCTTAATGTTGTCTTCTTGGTTATTATTTTGGGGGGCCACGCAGACCCGTCAGATTTTTAAGGGGGCCTCGGTGTTACTGAGTTTGGGAATGGCTGCTCTAGAGGAAACTCATGTGTCGCTTGTATTCGTGATCTCATCCCTTCGGTAATTACTCTAGCTCAGGACCAGAGGTGAGGGAGAGGACGGAGAGCTCGGACTGCAGACGCTGCTCTCCCACAGTGAACAAGACTGAGAGACCTTGAACTCCTCCACTTGAGGAAGGACCTCTGCACACAATAACCGACAATGATGTTGTACTGTTGGCAGTGTTTGAACTTGTAAGTATGAGTAACCACAATGAATTAACTTAGAAGCATGGCTAACCACAAGTAATTCATGAACACAGAAGCAATAACCACAATGAACGAATGGACTTAGAAGCATGAATAACCACATGTAATTAATAATGCATGTTTTATATCGCACTTTTTAGACACACAAAGACTGGTGTTTATACAGTCTCTGCCCCCAGAGGTCTCCCATGACACGTTTGAAAAGTTACCAACGTGTGATCCTGTCAGACCTCTGAAGCTAAGCAGGGCAGGGCCTGGTTACTGAGATGGGAGACTTCAGGGAACAGCAGGTGCCACAGTGGGGCGGCTCTGGCTGTAAAGTGCCAGACTGTGGTTGTGTCCTTAGGCAAGACACTTCCCCCTCATTAGAATGAGTCTGGTGTGAGTGTGAATGGTTGGTGGGACATCTATTTTGTATTTATATATTTGGGTATTGTAACTTTAAAGTAATGCAGTATTGTAATACTTTAGAGACGGTAATATTGTAGCAACACATTACTTTGAAAACAACAGTAACACGTTTTAAGTATTTTCCAAACACATTGAAGGAGAGAGTTTATCCAATGGCATTTATTTATACATCTACCTGTAAAGCATTATCACGGAGGAGACAGTGTGCTGCTGTTGCCTAGCGATTACAAAAATAATGCACAAATGCTGGATCTTAAAAACTAAAGTCTTAGGTTCGTCATGAGTTAGTGGTAACAGTTTGTATGCAACAGTAAAACACAGAATCCGTACAAAAGTCTCAGTCGCACATGTCTCAGACCCAGACCGGACATAACAGAATCAAGACAGTAACATTTCATCTCTTTGCATTTTTTAAAACATTGACCATTTTAGTGCATTACGTCTGGAAAAGGAGCTCAATGGAACTTTCTGGATCCTGTTGTTTTGATGGGAGCTGTTAGTGCATGGCTGTTCAGGAACGTCCCACGGATTAGGATGAACAATTATTATATATTTTGAAAGTTTGAAATGTCAGAATTGATCTAAAACGATGGAATAAAAGTATATATGTCCCAAAGCAGCAGCTACAATGTGTTTATGCCGATGTTTGTAGTTATTCAGTTCTGCATCATTGAAGAACATTAAAGAGAGAATAGTTGTGATGATCCTTTGTTTATTAGAGACTAGAATGAGACCAGAGAGACCAGAGAGAGACCAGAGAGAGACAAGAGAGAAAGACCAGAGAGAGACCATAAAGAGACCAGAGAGGGACCAGAGAGAGCAGAGAGAGACCAGAGAGAGACAAGAGAGAAAGACCAGAGAGAGACCATAAAGAGACCAGAGAGGGACCAGAGATAGAGACCAGAGAGAGAGACCAGAGAGAGAGACCAGAGAGACCAGAGAGAGAGAGACCAGAGAGAGAGACCAGAGAGAGAGACAAGAGAGACCAGAGAGAGAGAGACCAGAGAGAGTGAGAGACCAGAGAGAGAGAGACCAGAGAGAGAAAGAGACCAGAGAGCGAGCAGAGACCGACCAGATCTTAGAATAATTACTGACTCTTCTGACTTCTGGAAAAGCCTTGTTCCAGCTTCTTCCCTCTAGCACTTTAACAATCTGGCTGTTTTTATTGATTAGTTTCACTCAGGTGATTGTTTCTTGTAATTGTTATAAATCTGTCCTTGTCTGCTGCACACTGGGGACTCTCGCCCAAGTATTCCAATGTGGTTTTACTGCTATATCAACACCTACAGAACGACCCAGTTTAAGCAATGACGTCTCACTGACTATTCACATTGAGCCCCTTTAAGCAAAACAGCGTCTGAAATGTGTTTAGCTTAAGAACAGTAACAATCGCTTACAAAATGTGAAATGTACATTGTATTTTAGTGCATCAAATGTCTTCATGCGTCGTTGAGCGAGTTACAAAAAGTGGAATGTACAAGTCTAGAACTAGTGTAAACTCTATGACACGTTAATCTGGGGAAGTAGTACCTGGACCTGGAGGAGGATCTGGCAACGCAATAGAACTGCATCTGTACTGCTGGATCTGCTCCTCAGAACAAAGAACTGATGCTTTAAGGCTCAGAAGGTTCAGTAAAGAAGCTGGAGCTGCTTTTTTACCTTCAGCCTTAAAACATGTGGAGACACAACAGACTTTTTTACATTTGAATATTATGAATTGTTTGTGTTTGGGTTGGACTTGAGATTCCAAAGTGAACGAGTGACGGGAGAAAGATTTCCTCGGGTCATTTCCATCTGAGGTTTGTGTGACTTTAGTCTGCTGTTTTTGAATAATGGAAGTGATGTGATTGGAGCAGATGAGGAGAGAGAGACCAGAGCGGGACTAGAGACTAGAGTGATACTAGAGAGAGATCAGAGAGAGAGAGAGACTATAGAAACAAGAGCGAGATCAGAGCAGGACTAGAGACTAGAGAGAGAAAGACTAGAGTGAGAGACCGGAGAGAGATCTCAGCGAGACCAGAGAGAGACCAGAGCAAGACCAGAGAGAGACCAGAGACAGAGATGCCGGAGAGAGACCAAAGAGAGACCAGAGAGAGACCAGAGAGAGACAAGAGCGAGACCGGAGAGAGACCGTAGAGAAACCGGAGAGAGACCAGAGCGAGACGAGAGAGACCAGAGACAGACTACAGAGAGGAAGAGACCGGAGAGAGACCGGAGAGAGACCAGAGAGAGACCAGAGAGAGACCAGAGAGAGACCAGAGAGAGACCAGAGAGAGACCAGAGAGAGACCAGAGAGAGACCAGAGAGAGACCAGATTGGTTAATGTGCGGACCATAATGCCGTATTTGAGTTGAGTCTTATTTTCCTCCATGTTTGTAAAGTCTTTGCCATGAATCACAAACTGTGTGTATCGTGATATGTTAAGAATCACAATAACATTGAATTATGACCTAAATATTGCGACACAAACAAATCCTCACATATCTGACAGTTCCCATCATCAGGTTGACTGTGGACCTTCATGTGTTCAGGTGTAGACTTAAAGCAGATGAAACTAGCCCCAGGTCGATCAGAGGAATTAATTATTTTTGTTTCCTTTTTGCATAATACTTAGTCCTGTAGAGGCTGAAATCCACATCTCGCAGGTAAAACGTGGGAAAGGGCGATGATGAAACAGAGTGAATGGAAGTGTGTGGTCCAGAACGTTCCTCTCGGCTCCACGTGAAGAAGAGGTAAAGTGTTCGAAAGGCAGTAAAGGTCTCCAGAACATACAGACTTCAGGCGATGGCTTTGGCCTCGGGGAGAAAAGCCTCCCAGAACTTTATCAGCTGCAGAAGAATGAGAGACAGAAAAATCAGACAAATAATAATAATAATACATGTAGAATAAATACATTATTATTTATCGCTGTAGGTAAATCCATCCTTTGCATTTGACCCTGATGCTGTAAGGCTTACGTCAGGAGCAGTGGTCGCCGTAGTAACAGCACCCGGGAACCCATCTCCAGATGTTGGTGCTCAGCTTGGTCAGGACCAGAGCTGGAGGATTTAACCTAGTGAGCATGTTTTCAGTGGTAGGGGAAACCGGAGCACCCAGAGGAAACCTACGCAGGCACCACTCCACTCAGAAAGACCCCGTTCCGACTGGGATTCGAACCCAGGGCCGCGCTAAGCCACCCATGAGTGAAAGTTTTACATCCACGTTGGGACTGTTGTTTGGAATGATTCATCCAGACACTGAACGATGAGGTCATTATGGCAATTTGTTCACATGAATCCAAAGGTGCTACTGTTTCTCCAGTGTGTGAGTCAAATATATACAGACCTTTTGAATCCAGTCCAGAATCACTGGGTCAATATTTCTAAAGACATGTATCTATACTATCCATTTTTTAAATGATTATTTTAACCAAAACAATACTAATTCTGCTGCTTGCCGATATCGTACAAATGTGAAATTTGACCAACTTAAGACTCTGACACCATCTTAAAGCTGGCTTCCTTTTTTTCATAGCAGGTCTGTAACAAGAGTTATCATTATCTGAAGTCAGCTTTTTAACATGGTTTTATGAAACAGAATTCTGAGAAAAACAAGTTTAAAGATAGACATTCTAAATAGAATCACCACAGTCACATTTAACATGTTACATATGAATTACTCTGTTATGGCACTTATTTTAGTCACTATGTTGTAAAAGATAAACAAATGTTACTTTGGCACCAATTAAACTAATTAAATTAAACACACAACACTCATTAATTCGATGAAAATAAAGAATGTATTATTCTTTCAACATTCAATGAATGGAATTTGTTTTATGTAACTTTTCCTCTTTTTTAGTGTCTTTCTCTTTATAAGTTACTGAACATCATATATGTAGAAAATTATTTTGTGAGTTTCGGTTGCGCATAGGAGACACGGGGGAGACCTGCACTTAAAACAAGCTGGGGATTGTCTGAACGCGTGTCTAGGGTTCTGTCTATGGTTCTGTCTATGGTCCTGTCCGCGTATGGTTCTGTCAATGGTCCTGTCCGCGTATGGTTCTGTCAATGGTCCTGTCCGCGTATGGTTCTGTCAATGGTCCTGTCCGCGTATGGTCCTGTCCGCGTATGGTTCTGTCAATGGTCCTGTCCGCGTATGGTCCTGTCCGCGTATGGTTCTGTCAATGGTCCTGTCCGCGTATGGTTCTGTCAATGGTCCTGTCCGCGTATGGTTCTGTCAATGGTCCTGTCCGCGTATGGTTCTGTCAATGGTCCTGTCCGCGTATGGTTCTGTCAATGGTCCTGTCCGCGTATGGTTCTGTCAATGGTCCTGTCCGCGTATGGTTCTGTCAATGGTCCTGTCCGCGTATGGTTCTGTCAATGGTCCTGTCCGCGTATGGTTCTGTCAATGGTCCTGTCTGTCAGAGTGTCTAGTCCTGTCCGCGTATGGTCCTGTCAGAGTGTCTATGGTCCTGTCCGCGTATGGTTCTGTCTATGGTCCTGTCTATGGTCCTGTCCGCGTATGGTTCTGTCTATGGTCCTGTCCGCGTATGGTTCTGTCTATGGTCCTGTCCGCGTATGGTTCTGTCTATGGTCCTGTCCGCGTATGGTTCTGTCTATGGTCCTGTCCGCGTATGGTTCTGTCTATGGTCCTGTCCGCGTATGGTTCTGTCTATGGTCCTGTCCGCGTATGGTTCTGTCTATGGTCCTGTCCGCGTATGGTTCTGTCTATGGTCCTGTCCGCGTATGGTTCTGTCTATGGTCCTGTCCGCGTATGGTTCTGTCTATGGTCCTGTCCGAGTGTCTATGGTCCTGTCCGAGTGTCTATGGTCCTGTCCGAGTGTCTATGGTCCTGTCCGAGTGTCTATGGTCCTGTCCGCGTATGGTTCTGTCTATGGTCCTGTCTGAGTGTCTATGGTCCTGTCTGAGTGTCTATGGTTCTGTCTGAGTGTCTATGGTCCTGTCTGAGTGTCTATGGTTCTGTCTGAGTGTCTATGGTCCCGTCTATGGTCCTGTCCGCATATGGTTCTGTCTATGGTCCTGTCCGCATATGGTTCTGTCTATGGTCCTGTCCGCGCATGGTTCTGTCTATGGTCCTGTCCGAGTGTCTATGGTCCTGTCCGCGTATGGTTCTGTCTATGGTCCTGTCTGAGTGTCTATGGTCCTGTCCGCGCATAGTTCTGTCTATGGTCCTGTCCGAGTGTCTATGGTCCTGTCCGCATATGGTCCCCGCTCGGAGCCCCGTTACGGCGGCTGTCACAAAGCGGGTCGGGTTTTCCCAGATGGCATCACAAATACATTTATGGACATTGGTCTCTGCCGCTTATGGACCAATGAATGTGTATTTTTCATCTGTGTTTGATTCTCTGATCTGTGTTGGAGACAGCTTTGTAAAGTCCTCAGAGAAACTACTGCTGTGACTCAGACACAAAAATACATTGAATTGATAAACTTACTCTTTGTTGAGACTGTAGCATTGACTCCAAGTATCTGATGATCTGACTCTTGAAGTCCTTCACCTTCTCCTTCTGCAGAGACAGAAGTCAGAGTTTGTCAGGTCCATGTTATTGTGTTAGCATGCATGCTATGGTGTTAGCGAGTGTCCGTACCTCGAAGCGCAGCACCTCTTTGCGCACCATCATGCCCACTCTGTCGAAGTCTCTCTCGTACTGCGTCACTCTGGACTCCCACTGTAAACAACACATTCACATCAGAAACCACAGATCCTGTATGAGAGGTAGGGCTGGATCAAAACACATTCAAATAGCATTGCTTAATATATATACAAAATAAATACATTTAATGTACAGTACAGAGCAAAAGTGTGAACCCAGTCCAGATGGTTTTGGACCTGAACCCAGTCCAGATGGTTTTGGGGCTGGACCACAGAGTGAAGGGGCCAACAAGTGCTAAGCATCATGGGAACTCCTTCATGACTGTTGAAGACCATTTCAGGTCCTGTTGAAGCTCATCCAGAGAATGCCAAGAGTGAAGCAGTATCAGAGCAAAAGGAGCTACTTTGAAGAACCAGAATATAACACATACTTTCACTTGGTTCATTCATAGGTTTGATGCCTTCAGTGTCAATCTACAATTTTCATAATCATAAAACTATGAACAATATAACTCCTGTGAACCAGAAGGTGTGTCCAAACCTTTGGTCTGTACTCTGCAAAAATGTATTCATATTTTGACCAATAAATGCTTGTAATATCTCCCTGGGTATAAAAAAGTTATAGCAGCTATTGTTTTGTCCACCAGAGGGCAGTGTCTACAGGTAATCAATGCTGTTTTTAGACCCAGGTTCTTTATTTCAGTCAGATGCTTCTTCACTTCTTATAAACAAGTGTGTAACAGTCGTAGGTCCACAGAGGAAGAGGAAGAGGAAGAGGAGGAAGAGGACCAGAGTTGGATCTATCTCAGGTAAAAGACTTGGGAATTGGGAGAAGTACAACATTAATACAAGTTTATAAGAAATGATCAAAGTAATTACAAAGCTGGTTTTCTTGTCTTTCTGAAGGACTGACAGTGAGACAGAGACGGAGAGAGAGACAGAAAGACAGTGAGACAGAGAGAAAGAGACAGCGAGAGAGATACAATGAAAGACAGAGAGACAGTGCGAGTGAGACTGAGACAGTAAGAGACAGAGACAGAGAGACAGTGAGTGACAGAGAGAGACAGTGAGAGTGAGAAAGTAAGAGACAGAGAGAGAGAGACAGTGAGAGAGTGAGACAGTAAGAGACAGAGAGAGAGAGACAGTGAGAGTGAGACAGTAAGAAAGAGACCGTGAGAGTGAGAAAGTACAGTGAGAGTGAGACAGTAAGAGAGAGAGAGAGAGAGACAGTGAGAGTGAGACAGAGAGACAGTGAGTGAGACAGTAAGAGACAGAGAGAGACAGTGAGAGTGAGACAGTAAGAAAGAGACCGTGAGAGTGAGAAAGTAAGAGACAGAGAGAGAGAGACAGTGAGAGTGAGACAGAGAGACAGTGAGTGAGACAGTAAGAGACAGAGAGAGAGAGACAGTGAGAGTGAGACAGTGAGAGTGAGACAGTAAGAGACAGAGAGAGAGAGACAGTGAGAGTGAGACAGAGAGACAGTGAGTGAGACAGTAAGAGACAGAGAGAGAGAGACAGTGAGAGTGAGACAGTGAGACAGTGAGACAGTAGAGACAGAGAGAGAGAGAGACAGTGAGACAGAGAGCGAGACAGCCATCTGGTGTCTGACCTCGGTGATGTCATCTTTGGCCTGCTGCAGTTTGTCCGGCTTGTTGGCCCACAGCAGTTTGGCCTCAGCTTCTCTCTTCTTCTGCAGTGAGCTCTGAGCGTCCTGCCACCGCTGCCACGCCCTCATGCGCTGGTCAAAACAGCCCTGGACCAAACCACAACCACAATCTATAACACTGTTTAAGATATACTTTATTAATCTCACACAATCTATAACACTGTTTACGATATACTTTATTAATCTCACACAATCTATAACACTGTTTAAGATATACTTTATTAATCTCACACAATCTATAACACTGTTTACGATATACTTTATTAATCTCACACAATCTATAACACCGTTTAAGATATACTTTATTAATCTCACACAATCTATAACACTGTTTAAGATATACTTTATTAATCTCACACAATCTATAACACCGTTTAAATTACAAGAGAAAAGTCCTCTTTAAACAGACAGATTTGGTGAACGACTCCATAGTGTTCCTTTCCCTCACGTCCCCCACCATGACAATAGTCCTGATGACAGTAGTCCTGATGACAGTAGTCCTGATGACAGTAGTCCTCATGACAGTAGTCCTCATGACAGTAGTCCTCATGACAACAGTCCTCATGACAACAGTCCTCATGACAACAGTCCTCATGACAACAGTCCTCATGACAACAGTCCTCATGACAACAGTCCTCATGACAACAGTCCTCATGACAACAGTCCTCATGACAACAGTCCTCATGACAACAGTCCTCATGACAACAGTCCTGATGACAGTAGTCCTGATGACAGTAGTCCTTACCCTCACTCCCCCCTCTACAGTAGTCCTTACCCTCACCCCCCCCTCTACAGTAGTCCTTACCCTCACCCCCCCTCTACAGTAGTCCTTACCCTCACCCCCCCCTCTACAGTAGTCCTTACCCTCACCCCCCCTCTACAGTAGTCCTTACCCTCACCCCCCCTCTACAGTAGTCCTTACCCTCACCCCCCCCTCTACAGTAGTCCTTACCCTCACCCCCCCCCCTCTACAGTAGTCCTTACCCTCACCCCCCCTCTACAGTAGTCCTTACCCTCACCCCCCCCCTCCACAGTAGTCCTTATCCCCCCTCCCCACTCCACAGTAGTCCTTACCCTCACGGCCCCCACCAGGCGGATGTAGTCACAAAGCAGCTCCCCCAGGACAAAGAAGTCGTTGGCGGCCTGCTCCTGGTGCAGCGCCTCCATCTTGTCCTCGACCTCGGCGAGCTGAGACAGCGCCCGCGACAGCGCCGTGTTGTCCTCAGAGTTCCCCAACATCGCCATGCTCTTAGCAAACAGCGCCGTGTTCATGCAGAGCTCTGTGGGGGAGAGGGGCGGAGCTTAGAGGGCAGGGCTTATAGAGGGGTGAGGCTTAGAGGGGCGGAGCTTACAGGGGCGGGGCATACACAGGGGCGGAGATTATGCAGGGGTGGATCTTAGAGAGAGGCGGAGCTTACAAAGGCCTTACTACAAACCCCAATTCTGGTAAATTATAATAAACATTCATATGTATATGTGTGTGTGTGGTGGTGATGTAACTGTTAGAAGAATAAAGGATCTCATGTTACACTGTGGTTGTGGGTTGTGGGATAATGATTGACAGGCCTCTCCTCTCATATAAACCTGTAAGTGATGGATGTGGATCTGACCTTTGCGGTGATTGACCAGAGAGTCCACTACAGCACTGAGCTTCCTCAGCTGCTGCTCCTCGTTCTCCACCTCCTGGAACTTGTCTTCAAACCACTGAGAGCAACACAACCAGAGAGAACAGTGTCAAATCTCTTCTTGTGCTTAAGCCTCAGCCTGCTGTAAACATACTGTTTAAAGAATGCAGTATGTGCAGCTTTTACATCAATTACCCTTCTATAATGCAATGCATAATATAAAATGAAAGAAATAAGCAAGAATGTGTGTGAGTGTGTGTAGATGGTCCTCACGGTGTCAGCCTCGTTCATCTTGATGGTCATCTTGTTGAATGTGTGTGTGTGTGTGTGTGTGTGTGCTCCCGTGTGTGTGTGTGCGTGTGGTCCTCACGGTGTCGGCCTCGTTCATCTTGATGGTCATCTTGTTGACTGCGTCTGAAGCTTTGTTGATCATTTTGAGGAATCCTGCTCCACTGAGGGCCTGAGTGTTCACGGCTCTGGGCAGCTGCACAAAAACACATTTAAAAATATTACAAACTCAGGGACCTCCAGAACCCGACTAATCAGGATTGGACAGAATAGGTGATTGGACTAATTAACTTCCTAAATTGATATTAAAAGGATTCTATACCAGGCTGTATATTTCTTCAGCCCAGTCTCTGCATTTACAAGTGCTACACTGCACTCACTCTATCATAAATGCTATAATGGCGTCATAGACTGTCATGGCGGCGCCCACAAGTTGATGTGAAATACAAACAAACTTTTCTTGACAATCGTGCGTTTTCTACAAGGCAAATAAAAGAGGCATAAACTATTCTATTGGCGATGCCTCCGAAGAAGAATCCACCGACGGAGAACGACATGGATGAGATTCGTAAGTCGCTAAACTTCATGTCTGGGGGCCTGGCTAGCGTTACCCGGCAACTCGAGAAGCTAACGGAGCTTGTGGAGGAAGTGAAGCAGCTGAAAGTGACAATCCGAGAGAAAGATAAGACCATAATAGAGCTCGAAAAGAGAGTTGAGAACCTGGAACAGTACACTAGGATGGAAGACGTAATCATCTCGGGCCTGGACATCAAACCGCGCTCAAATGCGAGGGCAACTGCGACAGGGAGGAATGTTGACGAGAACGCAGAAAGAGAAGATATGCAAACTTTGGAGGACCAAGTTGTGCAATTTCTAAGAGAAAAAGATATACATTTGGATGCGAACAACATTTCTGCATGTCATACACTGCCACGCAGGGATAAAACAAAGCCTGCAATCATTATGCGCTTTGTTAACAGGAAACACAAAACCGAGCTACTGAGACAAGGAAGAAAGTTGAAAGGATCCAATGTATACCTAAATGAGCACCTGACCAAGAAGACGTCTGATATTGCACGGGAAGCACGGTTTCTGAAGAAAAACAACAAGATAAGAGCAACGTGGACCAGAAACTGCAAAGTATTCATTCAACTGAATGGATCTTCACTGGAGACTGCAAAAGTTATACTGGTAAGAGAACTTGGAGACCTTGAGAAGTTCAAATAATCAAAATGTATTTCTCAGCTAGGAATGTTTTTGTTTTGTTTTTGTTATATTTTTTGAGGAGCCAAGGAGTCTTTTTTGACATGCTGAAATTATTTTTTTCTTGCTGTGCAAGCAGAGACGATATATATATACTGTATATATTTTTCTCCTTCATGGACAATTATGACATATAGATGTCTAGCACTGAGGACAATAACAAGTATAATAAGAATACATATTTAAGTTTTTTTTTTTGTATTATTATTGCTGATATTGTCATTAGTATTTGTGTGTGTGTGTGTGTGTGTGGGTGTGTGTGTGTGTGGGTGTGCGTGCGCAAGAGAGAGGGAAAGGGAAAGAAAAAGGGACAAAAATTCGACTTAAACCATGATGACAAATGAAAGTGAATCAAGTAGTACATTATTAAATCAAGAAAACCATGAAATGGCCGGTGTGAATTGTGAACTGCATAAAACGCTAAATAGTATCCAGTTCTGTATGCAGGAGAACAACAATGGCTATAGAACGAATGAATTTGGTAGTGACATAGATCCAGATAGTCATCTCTATAATATAGTTAGTGATTGTGAATATTATACAGATGATCAATTTAAGTGTGTGAATACAGATGGCGCATTTACCATAATACATTTTAATAGTCGAAGTTTATTTAAGAATTATGATCATATTAAGGAATATTTGGACCAGTTCAAAATGTTCAGTGTCATTGCAGTTTCAGAGACTTGGCTAGATGATAAGTGTTCTGAAATTGAATTGGAAGGATACAAATTATTTACTACAAATAGAATTGGTAAAAAGGGAGGGGGGGTAGCATTGTTTGTGAATAGAGATTTAAAATGTATTAAGATTAATAGTAAATCAACCACCATTGATGGAGTCTTAGAATGTTTAACTGTAGAAATTGAGTTCATAAAGAATAAAAAGATGAATGTTAGCTGTGTGTACAGAACGCCTGGATCATGTCTGGATACTTTTAACCAAAATATTGACCATCTGTTTAGTAAGATAAACAAACTCCATGTTGTGTGTGGTGATTTTAATATTAATCTCTTGAACCCCCTTGAAAATACAAAAACAACTGACTTCCTTACAGACATGTATAGTAACAATTTACTTCTTAACGACATAAGCGATCATCTACCCATCTTCAGCATCTTTAAGCACTTTTTTGAAAAGAAAGATAACAAAAAAGTGGCACAGTATAAATACATCAGACATCGGACACCAGAGGCCATGGCAGCATTTAAGGCTGATTTATGTGCTCAGGACTGGAGTGTGGTCCAAAACTCAACAGACCCAGACGAGGCATATGAAGCCTTTATTAATACCCTGTTAAAATTATATGAAAAGCACTGTCCAATTAGGAAATTGTATATAAAGCAAACAACTAGAGAAGATAAACCGTGGATTACAAGAGGAATATTAAAATCATGTAAGAAGAAAAATTGTCTCTATAGAAAATTTATAAAAAGCAGAACCAAAGATGATGAACAGAGATATAAAACATACAAAAACAAGCTAGTTAAAATTATAAAATGCAGCAAAAAAACATACTTTTGTAACCTATTAGATCAACATAAAAATAATGTACAAGGAACATGGAAAGTATTATTAAAAAAGACATTTAAAAGAAGGAATATCCAATATATTTTTTGGACAAGGACCAAACAATAAATAATACAAAGGAAATGGCTAATTTATTTAACAATTTCTTTGTGAATGTTGGACCCACGCTAGTGAATGAAATTGCTCATAAAAGTAAAACAATAGTGAATAGTGAGCAACCTATTCAAAATAATCTACAATCATTTTTCATTACCCCAGTACAAGAGTATGAAATAATTGAAATAGTAAATTCCTTCAAAAATAAAAAGTCAACGGATTGTTTTGACATAGACATGTGTATGGTCAAGGAAATTGTTGAATATATAGTTGTTCCCTTCACTTATGTTTGTAATCTTTCTTTTCTCAAAGGTGTCTTCCCATATAAAATGAAGACTGCAAAAGTCATACCCATCTTTAAGAGTGGAGATGAACATCTGTGTACAAACTATAGGCCAATATCATTACTGCCACAATTCGCAAAAATTCTAGAAAAAATCTTTGTAACCAGACTGGATTCCTTCATTGATAATCACCATTTACTTTGCGAGCAGCAATATGGCTTCAGATCAAACGGTCCACCTATGGCAGTGATGGAACTGGTGGAGGAGGTATCACCGCAATTGATAAGAGCAATTTAGGTTGGTGTTTCATTGACCTTAGCAAGGCTTTGATACCATAGACCACACATTACTTTAAAGAAATGGAGATATGGTGTCAGAGGTTGCACATGATGGTTGAGAAGTTATCTTGGTGGCAGAGACAGTACGCCATATAAACAACTAAATTCTGATAAATGAACATAACTCATGGAGTTCCTCAAGGCTCTGTACTGGGACCCAAACTGTTTATAATGTATATAAATGATATCTGCAAAGTTTTTAAAAAACTAAACTGCATTATGTTTGCTGATGATACGAGCTTGTACTGTTCTGGGCAAGATCTTGGACAGCTCCTAGAAACTGTAGAGTCGGAACTTTCCCAACTAAAAGAATGGTTTGATGATAATAAGCTGTCAATCAATTTGAATAAAACTAAGTATATGATTTTTGGAAATAAGAAAATGAACACTCAATGTCACATAAAAATTGGCGATAGGGAAATAGAAAGAGTACACACAACAAAGTTTTTAGGAATTCATATCGATGAGAAAATTAATTGGAAGCTACACATAAATGTAATGAAAACAAAGTTGTCAAAAATTATAGCAAAGTAAAATACTCTGTAAACCAAAATGCACTTAAAATGTTGTACAACTCTTTCATACTTCCATATCTCAATTATTGTGTCGAAATATGGGGAAACAATTTCAAATCCAACGTCCAATCAGTTGTTTTGCTCCAAAAGAAGGCTGTCAGAATAGTTAATTATGCAGATTTTTATGCTCCTACAAACGCCCTCTTGATCAAATTAAAAACATTAAAATTTCATGACCTTGTTGACCTAAACACTGCGATTTTCATGTACAAAGCCCATAACCACCTGCTCCCTCAGCGCATACAGGAGAGGTTCAAACCTAGAGAGAGTCCTTATGAATTAAGAGGTGTGTATGTCTTTAAGAAACCAAATGTGAGAACCAGTTTAAAAAGTAGATGCATCTCTGTCAGGGGGGTTCATCTTTGGAATGGCCTGGATGAGCCACTCAAATGTTCCACCTCAATTCACACATTTAAAAAGCGCTATAAGGCTATTGTTGAAGAAAAGTATAAATCTCTAGAATAATAATAATAATAACCTGTGTGTATGCAGGTACAGATATAGGTGTATGTTTGTATGTGTGTGTATGTATATATATATGTATATGTATGAATGTGTGTATGTCTATGTAAATCCATGTATAGATATATATATATATATATATATTATATACATAAAAGGAAGAAAATTAAAATAAATAAATAATAATAATAAAAAAAAAATATATATATATATATATATATATATATATGTCATACTCTGTATTTATGTATATAATGTGATTACAAGGAATATTTCTTTGAATTAGTACGAACTATTTATTTTCTTACAATGAAAATTGTATTTGGAAATACTGTAAGCTCTGTGGATCCGCTACATTGTATATAATTTTGTTACATTTGTATAAGTAAGAAATGTAATTTTGTTATTTGTTAATAGGGTTAGGCGAAATAAGTGTTAAACTTCAGCCTAACCCTTTCGGTCAGTATATAATTTATAATTTGTGAATGTCAAATGTTTTCTTATTTTCTGCTGATGGCCGAAGAATAAAGGAATATATATATAAACTTCCATCAGGCTCATGTCTTAAGAATAAATTAAACTTATTCTCCATCACTGACAGCTGTTTACTGAGCTGATCTTCTCCTACAGTTCTCAATGTCACGTTTATCCACTGACATGTGTTGCCCCGTTATCTGCCACACATTATGGTGCTCTTTTAAATCACTTCTAAAACCACACTTTACTGGAGTGGCCTTCATATAACCGTTTCACACTTGTTTCTTGAATTATATGTAACACATTGTAAAACTGCTCAAATAAAACTACGACTAAAACCAACTCTTATATGCCGTCTTTAAGATTTGTCTAGAGATATCTCACGTGACGTCACGATGCCTCGAACTCGCGGGGCATCCGCCATACTGGAGGACAAGCAAACGCTGTATGATAGTGGCGTGCACCCGGGACCGCATAAACATGTTCAACATTTTTGCCGTTTTTGGCTGCAGCAAAAGGAGAGACAGGGAAAATAAGTTGTGTTACCGACTGCCAGCCGTCCTTACTTCACACGGCTCAAAAACAGAAGAAATCTCAAAGAAACGAGAGAGAAATGGCACAACCATACGCAACAACAAAAAACTAATAGCCCCCAGAGCGCCCGAATATGCTCGGATCATTTCATTTCTGCTAAGTGAAATCAATTTGATGGCGGATTTAGTGTTATTCCGAAACAAACAGAAGTTTAAGGATAAAACATATCTGTCTGACTGCAACGTGGGGTTGCTCCATAGACTGTAGCTTAGCTTGTAGCATAGCTGTTATATATTTGGTCTCACACAGGACCTCACCCGGTTCACAGGGTATCTGACTTACCGAAGGCCAGCAGACATGTGAACGACTGAGCCGTGCTCCAGGGTGCCCCGTACTAGTATTTATTAATAAAATATACGGCTCCTCACAGTAGACGCAGAAAGCTCCATTGATTTGAATGTAATCTCATTATTTCCACTGCAGTGTAGCCACACATAGATCCATGGTGTAACAATAAACACATTAAATGTTAATCAGAGAATACATTATACATATACATTCTTAATACACGTGCACAGAGGTTTTCAGATTTTTCTGTTCACGTTTTCATGAAAAAACACTGTTTTAATGCGACAATATGCGACCGCGGTAAACCTGGACGTAACGATAAACATTAATAATACATTTTAGGATGCATTTCCAGAGGATCTGATTCATGAATTTAGGTTGAGTATATATTTGGGTCACTAACTGCTGAAGTTTCAAATTCTCTGTTCAGTTTTCATGTAGTTCGAGAGAGTTCTAGTTTTGAACGTCCAGTTATAGATAGCTAGCAGGGCTGTTACTCGCCGAGGTTGTCCTCCAGTATGGCTGCCGTGGCTGCTAGTCACGTGACCGTAGGATCCCTCTATAGGATTGTATTAATATTCATACTTCAGACAACAAGTGTGTGTGTCATAGAGAAAGACACATTCTTCCATTGGTCCTCAGAACATTTGAACTGGACCAATCAGGATCCAGCAGAGACTCACCTCTTCTCTCTCCAGGAACTCTCTCACATCAGGGTCCTGCAGCAGCGTGGGGTGGCTCACTATTCTCTGGAGGTACCTAAAAAACAGACAGAGATTGAGGACACACAGCAGCAGTGTCACGGTAAGTTTATTGGCGTAGCACAGTCTATCCACAAGGCGACTCAAAGTGCTGAACAAAACCAGATAGAAACCATCACACAAGGCATTCAAATTAGCCTAGCCATAGCCATTTGTAAACTCTTTCCCTACATGTACGAAATGAAATGTGTTCGATAGGGCTGCATGATACTGGAAATTAGTGCGATATTCGATATAAGTGTTGAGGATTTCGATAACGATATTATTGCGATATTTTTGTCTTTAGCCTAAAATTGCATCTGCTTTGAAGCGCAAGAGACCAATAACAAAAAATAAGCACAACATTAATGACATTCAAATGCATATATTTATACACTTGTTTGTTGTTCTTGTTGAATGTTGATGTGTCTATTAACAACAACAAAACAGACAAAGGAAAAAATAAAACAAAAAAATTAATAAAAATGTTATCCTGCATCTTTTCGATATGGATATTGCACGCACCAATATCGCCATAATGATATTTGTTCGATATATCGTGCAGCCCTAGTGTACCATGGTGCGGTAAGACCAGGCTACATTAAAATCATGAATCATAAATAATCACTGTACATTAAAAAGACGATACAATCAGAAACAGAACTGTATGATCATTTTAGTGAACGTTATGAAGACTATGATGTCTGCAGTTTTTGGTTTTATCCCACACACTTGGTATTTCATTAACATTATTCATTAAAACGCTGCAGGTTTGGTTGAACAGCATCACACACACCTGCTCCTATCTCTGTGTGGAGTGAGAGACAAGTGCCCAAAAATAATAACAATTGTAAACCGCTTTGTGACTCTGGTCTGTGAAAGGCGGTGTATAAATAAAGATTACTTACTTACTTAAACTACAAAGAAGTATCTATTCATGAACTCCATGTGGCGTATTGTTTGAGGATTGTATTGAGGAGACCCAGATGGGAAACATTTAAGTCGGCTCAATGAGAGTCAGAACATTATAATCATAAGTCTGAAGTGCCTCGCGGTCAGCTGCGTCTGAACTGTGCTATACAGATAAACCTGGCTAAACCATAGACGCCATAGTAAGTGTAAAGTCTTGTACCTCTCCAGAGCTGCTCTCCTCCTCTCCACAAACTCCACAGACGACGGATCGTCCATCCCCACCTTCACCTTGGTCATTCCTATAGGACACAGTTAGGTTAGCTCCCCTGGCTGTTATAGCTCCCGTGGCTGTTATAGCTCCCCTGGCTGTTATAGCTCCCCTGGCTGTTATAGCTCCCCTGGCTGTTATACAGTGCCTTGCGAAAGTATTCCTTTCGCAAGGCACTTCCTTTCGCCACATTTCAGGCTTCAAACAAAGATATAAAAATTATTTTTTTTGTCAATAATCAACAACAAGTGGGACACAATCGTGAAGTGGAACAAAATTTATTGGATAATTTATACTTTTTTAACAAATAAAAAACTGAAAAGTGGGGCGTGCAATATTATTCGGCCCCCTTGCGCTAATACTTTGTAGCGCCACCTTTTGCTGCAATTACAGCTGCAAGTCGCTTGGGGTATGTCTCTATCAGTTTTGCACATCAAGAGACTGGAATTCTTGCCCATTCTTCCTTGCAAAACAGCTCGAGCTCAGTGAGGTTGGATGGAGAGCGTTTGTGAACAGCAGTCTTCAGCTCTTTCCACAGATTCTCGATTGGATTCAGGTCTGGACTTTGACTTGGCCATTCTAACACCTGGATACGTCTATTTGTGAACCATTCCATTGTAGATTTGGCTTTATGTTTTGGATCATTGTCCTGTTGGAAGATAAATCTCCGTCCCAGTCTCAGGTCTTTTGCAGACTCCAACAGCTTTTCTTCCAGAATGGTCCTGTATTTGGCTCCATTCATCTTCCCATCAATTTTAGCCATCTTCCCTGTCCCTGCTGAAGAAAAGCAGGCCCAAACCATGATGCTGCCACCACCATGTTTGACAGTGGGGATGGTGTGTTCAGGGTGATGAGCTGTGTTGCTTTTACGCCAAACATATCGTTTTGCATTGTGGCCAAAAAGTTTGATTTTGGTTTCATCTGACCAGAGCACCTTCTTCCACATGTTTGGTGTGTCTCCCAAGTGGCTTGTGGCAAACTTTAAACAAGACTTTTTGGTAACGCTTTATATTAAGGTGTGCTTGTTAAGTATTAATAAGGTATTAATAGACATTAGCAACATGCTTATATATTGCTTATATGTACTTATAAACATTAATAAGCTGCTCATTTCACTATTCTCTAAATGATGTTCTAGTTATATGCTTTTAAGCATTTAATAAGTAATTAGTAAGATACTTATTAAAGGAGGAATATGTTTATAAATATATGAATAAGCTGCTTATTAAACTATTATCAATACCATGTTAATAGGCCACTAACAATATGCCTATAAAGATATTAATACGCTGCTTATTAATAGGCAATAGTGGTAATAGGCCACTAAAAATATGCGTTAATAAACTGCTTATTACACTATTTTGCAGTACCTTAATTTAAAGCGAGGAGCATTTTTGTTAATGCAGAAAAAAACAACAATGATCTAAGATGTTTTTATTTATTCAAACAGCAACAATTAAAGTCTAAATGAAAAAATATATCAAAATTAAGTTTGTGCCAAAAGTAACTTGCCTATTTTTGGGCATTGTCTGGTCCTCCCAGTTCTGCGCAGTTGACGAGCTCCCATGATGCTTTGCGCCAAATACGCGTGCGTGGCTGTCATGCACGTGCACATAGGGGCTGCGCTCTGACCAATCAGAGCTGCTGATCAGAGAGGGAGTTAGAGCCAGACGAGTAGAGTTTGGGGCAGTAAAATGTGGATTTAAAGAAAACTGAAGGATTTAAGAAGAAAAAAAGTTCAGGATGACAAGGGACACTAAAATCCCCACAAAATCCGACCTTTATGAAAGCTGTAGGTTCTCTGTCTGCTGAGGTCGAGCTGTTTTAGTTTACAGTGCGTTCTATGGGGACAATTTCTGGGTAGCCCACGTGAATTTAGTTTGCAGTACCACGAGAATCTCCCCAACCACAAGCTAGTAATACCCTATCCAGTTATTATAATAGATCCATGTATACAACCTGTGGCACAACCATGGAACTATAATAATAACTGGATAGTGTATTCCTAGCTTATAGCTGTCCCACACATGGGCACAGGGGGCGCTGTGGTACTGCAGACTAAATTCACGAGGGCTACCCAGAAAAAGTCCCATAGAACTCAATGTAAATTAAAACAGCTCGACCTCAGCTGACAGAGAACCCACAGCTTTCATAAAGTTCGGATTTTCTGGGGATTTTAGTGTCCCTTGTCATCCTGAACTTTTTTTCTTCTTAAATCCTTCAGTTTTCTTTAAAGTGGTTCTCACCCCCGCTCCTCGGAGCTTACGTCACTCACATTTCCTGTTCAAATCTTCTTCTAAATGGGCGTAGCCTGGAGGAATAAAGGGGGCGTGAACGAGACTGGGCCGTTTATATAGCTCTGGGCGGGGGGCTGCTGACGTCAGGTCTCAGGCGGCAGATTCAAAATTCAAATGTAGTAATACAGGTCGCCAGCAGATGGCGCCTCACAGATGGTTTTAGGCAGAAAGTTTAACTTTCAACTAATTTGCACCAAAGTGACAAAATGATGACTAGGATATGTAGACAACACTATTGGACACTCATTTATACCGTTTATCATCCTTTAAATCCACATTTTACGGCCACAAACTCTACTCGTCTGGCTCTGATCAGCAGCTCTGATTGGTCAGAGCACGGCCCTCTGTGCACGTGCATGACAGCCACGCAAGCGTATTTGGCGCAAAGCATCATGGGAGCTCGTCCACTGCGCAGAACCGGGAGGACCAGACGATGCCCAAAAATAGGCGAGTTCCGCTAATCTCTCAGGCTCGTGAAGTCAGTTGATTTACTGTTTTGCCAAAGCCAAATTCAAGCAGGTCGGAGCATGAGTGGGTTCATCATGGCTCCTTGAAGTTACTAACAAACTTTTGGCACAAACTTAATTTTGATCTTTTTTTTTCATTTAGACTTTAATTGTTGCTGTTTGAATAAATAAAAACATCTTAGATCATTGTTGTGTTTTTTTCCGCATTAACAAAAATGCTCCTCGCTTTAGATTAAGGTACTGCAAAATAGTGTAATAAGCAGTTTATTAACGCATATTTTTAGTGGCCTATTACCACTATTGCCTATTAATAAGCAGCGTATTAATATCTTTATAGGCATATTGTTAGTGGCCTATTAACATGGTATCGATAATAGTTTAATAAGCAGCTTATTCATATATTTATAAACATATTCCTCCTTTAATAAGTATCTTACTAATTACTTATTAAATGCTTAAAAGTATATAACTAGAACAACATCATTTAGAGAATAGTGAAATGAGCAGCTTATTAATATGTTTATAAGTACATATAAGCAATATATAAGCATGTTGCTAATATCTATTAATACCTTATTAATACTTAACAAGCACACCTTAATATAAAGCGTTACCGGCTTTTTATGGATATCTTTGAGAAATGGCTTTCTTCTTGCCACTCTTCCATAAAGGCCAGATTTGTGCAGTGCACGACTGATTGTTGTCCTATGGACAGACTCTGCCACCTCAGCTGTAGTTATCTGTAGTTCATCCAGAGTGATCATGGGCCTCTTGGCTGCATCTCTGATCAGTCTTCTCCTTGTTTGAGATGAAAGTTTGGAGGGACGGCCGGGTCTTGGTAGATTTGCAGTGGTCTGATACTCCTTCCATTTCAATATAATTGCTTGCACAGTGCTCCTTGAGATGTTTAAAGCTTGGGAAATCTTTTTGTATCCAAATCCAGCTTTAAACTTCTCCACAACAGTATCTCGGACCTGCCTGGTGTGTTCCTTTGTCTTCATGGTTCTCTCTGCGCTTTAAACAGAACCCTGAGACTATCAAAGAGCAGGTGCATTTATACGGAGACTTGATTACACACAGGTGCATTCTATTTATCATCATCAGTCATTTAGGACAACATTGGATCATTCAAAGATCCTCACTGAACTTCTGGACTGAGTTTGCTGCACTGAAAGTAAAGGGGCCGAATAATATTGCACGCCCCACTTTTCAGTTTTTTATTTGTTAAAAAAGTTTAAATGATCCAATAAATTTTGTTCCACTTCACGATTGTGTCCAACTTGTTGTTGATTCATGACAAAAAAATAAAATTGTATATCTTTATGTTTGTAGCCTGAAATGTTGAAAGGTTCAAGGGGGGCAAATACTTTCGCAAGGCACTGTAGCTCCCCTGGCTGTTATAGCTCCCGTGGCTGTTATAGCTCCCCTGACTGTTATAGCTCCCCTTGACTGTCATAGCTCCCCTTGACTGTTATAGCTCCCCTTGACTGTTATAGCTCCCCTTGGTTGTTATAGCTCCCCTTGACTGTCATAGCTCCCCTTGACTGTCATAGCTCCCCTTGGTTGTTATAGCTCCCCTGACTGTTATAGCTCCCCTGACTGTTATAGCTCCCCTGACTGTTATAGCTCCCCTGACTGTTATAGCTCCCCTGACTGTTATAGCTCCCCTGACTGTTATAGCTCCCCTGACTGTTATAGCTCCCCTGGCTGTTATAGCTCCCCTGGCTGTTATAGCTCCCCTGACTGTTATAGCTCCCCTTGGTTGTTATAGCTCCCCTGACTGTTATAGCTCCCTGGGTGTTATAGCACTGGCTGTTAAGCTCCCCCCCTAAAGCAACACACTATGAAACAAATGCACTAACACTTCCATCTAGTGGCAGAAAATGGGAATTACACTCTGCAGGAGACTAGACTGAAAACAGACAATATTTTGGTTTTGAATGACAGAAAACAGCTCTGTCCACAGTGTACACAATATCTGAGGATTAAAAAGGATCATATGGATGGATGGACTGGAGGAGGAGTGTGATTGGACAGATTTGAGGCAGAAGTTATCATCTGGATGAGACTAAAAACAATGTCAGAGATTCTTTGCCTTTCACAGTAAAACCACAGTGGAATACATGAGTGAGTCCCCAAAGTGCAGTGAAAATGAGCTAGTATAGTATATAGTAATTATTTGTGTAACTTATAAATGTATGCTGATTTTCCAATACCTTCCTCTATTCTCCATCTCTCTTCTTTTAACTGTTTGTACAAAGAGCGTTTTTTCCCCATTATTCATTGTTATTTTTATTGTGGAAAACTGCAAGCTCAAGTGGAGGAGTTCAAGTATCTCGGGGTCTTGTTCACGAGTGAGGGAAGAATGCAGCGTGAGATTGACAGGCGGATCGGTGCAGCGTGCGCAGTGATGCGGTCGCTGTATCGGACCGTTGTGGTGAAGAGGGAGCTGAGCTGAAAGGCAAAGCTTTCGATTTACCGGTCAATCTTCGTTCCCTCCCTCACCTATGGTCATGAGCTTTGGATAAATGAGCTTCCTCCGCAGAGTGGCTGGGCGCTCCCTTAGAGATAGGGTGAGGAGCTCAGTCACACGGGAGGAGCTCGGAGTAGAGCCGCTGCTACTCCACGTCGACAGGAACCAGTTGAGGTTGCTCGGGCATCTGTTCCGGATGCCTCCTGGACGGCTCCCTGGGGAGGTGTTCCGGGCACGTCCCACCGGGAGGAGGCCCCGGGGAAGATCTAGGACACGCTGGAGGGACTATGTCTCTCAGCTGGCCTGGGAACGCCTTGGGGTCCCCCCGGACGAGCTGGAGGAAGTGTGTGTGGATAGGGAAGTCTGGGCGTCTCTGCTTAGACTGCTGCCCCCGCGACCCGGCAACAGATAAAGCGGAAGAAAATGGATGGATGGATGGACTGTGCAAGCTACTGTGACAACGCAATGTCCGCGTGGATCAATGAAGTCCGTCTAAGTCTATTAGGAGCACATTGAAGCCCTTCATTTCAACAGTGCACTTTATAATCCACTTTATATATGAAGATAACGCCATCACTTGATAATGCGTCTTATTAGTGCGAAAAACACGGTCCTTACATGGAAATAAAAAAAGATTGATTGTAAAAGTGTGAGGTACAGACCCATGACGCTCTTCTCGGGCGGGGGGGGGATGATGCAGCCCTGCAGACACTGTTTCACCGACAGCTTCTCGTACAGACCCAGGAAGTCACTGAAGCGCCGCCTCACGGAGAAGGTCTGACTCCTGAACATGGCCAGGGACGTCTACGGAGCACACGCTGGTTACAAACATCCAGTGATGGGAATAACGGCGTTACTTTTTTCAGTAACGAGTATTCTAATTACTTTGACTGTAACTATAACGCCGTTATCATTAAAGGCGCTATACCCGTTTCTGCAATTTTTGAATGTTTAGCACCGCCCCCCAACTCGCTCAATGGCTTCTTATTTCCCCTACGCTCTCATAACACAGAGCCACCTAGTTTTATTTGCGATCTGATACATATGCTAACATTAGAATTAGCGCAACTTCTTGTAAGCTGTGCAACAATCACTGATGAAATGGCACTAAAGCAACGCACTGCTAACACAATATATAAGTAAAAGAATACCGCTAGTTTTGCGTCCGAATGTATTAATTTAAAACCTTAGAATATATTCTAATATTGAATTATAATTTGTTATAGAGCTCCTCAAAGCAGCAGCAGCAATTCTTCCGATAATTTTTTCTTGATAACAGAACTCTCAAACCAATAATGACCGAAGCCCCAATGCAACCTCTGTTTGTAATTCAGGTGTGTAAAATACTGCCATTACTCTGCAAGTACAACAAGCTATCAGCGCCTGTCACTACACACTCTTCTGTGTAGAGAAGCCAACTGAGCTAGCCACGCTCAATAAACAACTACATATCTATCAATCAACACCATTAAACGTCAATCGGACAATACAGTATACATATACATCCTTAACACACATGCACGGATGATTTCAGAATTTGCTGTTAACGTTTTCATGACAAAAATACTGTTTCAATGTGACAAAAAGCGATTGCGAAAAACCCGGAAGTTACCATGAAACAGCTAGCTAGCTTAGCTGTTACCTGCCTAGCACGTCCCGGTGAAACCTTTGGGAGCTAACTATTTTATTTGCAGTCATTAAATACATTTCGAATTACAAGGGTTGTCTAATATTTGTTCACATTTTTTTATTCAATTATTTTGTTCATCATTTTTTATTTTAGAATTTATATTCGAATTTTGAAGTTGAAGCCCTGGTGTTAAGCAGCGCTGTAGGGGCTAGAGGACGCAGGCTGTTCGCTGCTCGTTCTGTGAGCGGAGGAGAAAGAGCGGCCCGCTCAGACTCTACTCGGCACTTTTCACTGCTTGTAATTCTTACACAGCTGAATCAATTACCTCAAGTTTTCAATTAAATGATGTATTATGATACAACTTGTATGTAGTAAAAAGCATTTTTATGAACTACTTAGAAAAAAAATCGGGTATCAATCAATCAATCAATCAACTTTATTTGTATGGCGCCTTTCCAACACAAGGCCACTCAAAGCGCCTCACAACCCACATAGTATCACACAAATCAGAGACATCAATAAATACATTAAAAACAGAATAAAATCACAAATAAAAAAAAATAAAAAAAAAAACTTAAAATATTAAAAGCACACACGGGATTAAAATAATAAATAACCACAATGCATTAAAAAAAAAAAAGAGTATGTATCAATAGAATCCTTCAGCCGTATGCACAGCTAAAAAGAACAGTTTTTAGCCCCGATTTAAAAATTGCCAGAGTAGATGCTAGCCTCACATCTTCAGGAAGATTGTTCCAGATTTTAGCTCCATAAATCTCAAACGCTGCCTCCCCATGTTTAGTTCTGACTCTTGGAACCAGTAAGAGGCTACCTCCTGTGCTCCTCAGAGTCCGGGTCGGTTCATATGGGACTAACAAGTCGCTTAAGTACCCTGGTGCGAGGCCATGGAGAGACTTGTACACAAGCAGTGCTGCTTTGAAGTCTATTCTCTGAGCCACAGGAAGCCAGTGCAGAGACCTGAGAACTGGACTAATGTGGTCATATTTCCTGGTCCTGGTCAGGACTCGAGCTGCAGCATTTTGGACATACTGCAGTTGTTTTACAGCCTGTTTGGAGAGACCTGTGAGCAGGCCATTGCAGTAGTCTAACCTACTGGAGACAAATGCATGGATGAGAATCTCCAGATCTGATTTAGACACTATGTTTCTAATTTTGGCAATGTTTTTCAGATGGTAAAATGCTGCTGATGTTACTGATTTGATATGACTGTTAACATTTAAGTCTGAGTCCATTATAACTCCTAGGTTTCTGACCTTGCCTACAGGTTCCAGGGAGAGAGACTGGAGGTGACGAATAACGCTCTCTTTGTTTCTGAGGACCAAAGACAATCAATTCTGTTTTGTCTGCGTTTAGCTGAAGGAAGTTATTTTGCATCCAATCACTAATCTGTTGAGTACAGTGAAGGAGTGATTCCACTGGTCCATGTTCTCCTGCAGTAAGTGAGACATAAATTTGAGTGTCATCAGCGTAATTGTGGTAGGATACATTGTTGGAGCGTATTAACTGACCTAACGGCAGCATGTAAATATTGAACAGAAGAGGCCCCAGAATTGATCCCTGTGGCACTCCGCAGGTCAGAGCCATATGATCTGAGACACAGTTTCCTATCTGAACCAAGTATTTCCTGTCTTCTAGGTAAGACCTAAACCAACTTAGGGCAGTCCCAGTGACACCCACTCAGTGCTCTAGTCTCTGCAGGAGGATCTCGTGGTCGACTGTGTCGAACGCAGCACTCAGATCCAACATTACTAAAACTGTGACTTTTCCTGTGTTGGTGTTAAGTCGGATGTCATTTGTAACCTTCACTAGTGCAGTCTCAGTGCTGTGATTGGCTCTAAAGCCGGACTGGAGCGCATCAAACGAACTATTAGTTACTAAGAATTCTGTAAGTTGTTGGTAAGCAACTTTTTCCAGAATTTTTCCCATAAACGGCAGATTTGAAATGGGGCGATAATTCTTAAGAACTGTGGCATCTAGACTCCTCTTTTTTAGGAGGGGTCTGATGACTGCCGTTTTCAGGGCCATTGGAAATGTTCCAGATGAGAAAGACATGTTCACTATTTGTGTGAGCAAAGGTAAAAGACTGCTCAAAACAGACTTAAAAAATTTAGTGGGTAGTACATCCAGGCTACATGTGGAGGAACTAAGGCTAGAGACAACATCTTGGACAGTTTCATTATCTGTTGGTGCAAAGTGCGATAGCTCAAACAGCCTCACCGGCTGTTGTAATGTTATTTCTGCCTTGGAGGTGATGGCGTTTTTGATGCTCTGAACCTTGTCATTGAAAAATTGTGCAAACTCATTACATTTAGATTCTGAAGCAAATTCGAATGGCAGCTGAACAGGGGGGTTTGTTAATCCGTTAACTGTTGAAAACATAAGTCGTAGATTATTATTGCAGCCATCAATGGTTTTAGAAAAATAAATTTCTCTTGTTCTACGTAGCACCCTGTTAAACTTGCACAACTCATTTTTGAAGATATCATGATCAACCTGGAGATTGGATTTTCGCCACTTCCGCTCGGCCCTACGGCACTCTCTCTTCTGTACCATGACTGAGTCCATTTTAGTCCAGGGGGCCTTTGGCTTATTTGTAATCATTTTAACCTTCACAGGAGCGATGATGTCCAGAACATTTATAACATTGGCGGTGACAGAGAAACAATTCGTCAACAGTAGAACACAATGTGTTCTCAAAGTTTATCATTCCCATGAATAGTTCGGTTGTGTTTTCATTTATGTGTCTGTGTCTGACAATTGCAGATTCAGATATATATGGTTGTTTGCTATCAAAACACATGTCAAAAAATACACAGAAGTGATCTGACAGAGCCACGTCAACCACATTTACATTTAAAATATTAACCCCCTTTGTAACCAGCAGGTCTAGAGTGTGCCCTTTGCTGTGGGTGGGGCCACTCACGTGCTGAGTGAGACCAAATGTTTCAAGTACAGAACTCAGCTCTTTTGCATTTTTGTCATTGCCATTATCCACATGAATATTAAAATCACCTGTAATCACTAAACTATCAAAATCGGTGCAAACAACTGAAAGCAACTCAGTGAAATTATCCAAGAAATTGTGACAAGACTGCGGTGGCTTGTACAGGACAATGATAAGAATAGAAGGAGATTGTTTTTGTTCTATTTTAAAAGAAATATACTCAAATGATAGAAAATTTCCAAGGAGAATTCTATGAGAGATAATACGATCTCTAAATAATGCAGCAATGCCTCCCCCCCTTTTATTTTCTCGGATTTCAGATTCAAATTTGAAGTTTGGTGGCGTTGCTTCTATTAAAACCGCATTACCTGTACTCTGGTCAAGCCAAGTTTCAGTCAGAAACATAAAATCAAGATCATAAGAACGGATAAAATTATTAATTAAAAATGATTTGTTGCACAGTGATCTGACATTAAGCATAGCAATTTTAAAATTAATATCAGTAACAGTGGGTTTAGTTAATTGATTTTTACAAGGAGCAGGAATTAGATTTGAATGTCTAACTGCTGTCCTTCTGTTATGATTTTGTTTTCCATTCAAATAAAAACATTTTTTGAAACTGATGCGAGGAACACACACAGTTTCTATTTGTCTAACATGTGAACTCTTTTGCTGTGTAAGTCCCGGATTCAGGACGGCATTGCTTCGTTGTTTAGAGCAGGAGGCAGCACGGTTCAGAGGCGAGACTGTTATTTCACTGCCAGACGGAAAGGGGTCAGTGTTTGCACCACAGTACTCACCCGGTGCTGGTGAGCAGGAGAAGAAGGAGGAGGGTGGTGGTGGTGAGGGCTCCGATGTAAACAGTCACGCCCCCCTCGGGGAACACTGAATAACGTGGCGTAAGTAATCCGTCAACAAGCTGGTGCCATATCTATTTGGGTGCAGACCGTCTGGACGATAAGCCACGTGACGCTTCCAGAAAAGGCCAAAGTTATTCACAAAAATAAAGTTAAACGAGCTACATGCAGACTGGAGCCACATATTCAGACGCCACTACGCGACTGTACAAGCAGTCTCCCCGGTTTACAGTCGGGACTGGACCAGAGATAAAAACACACAACCCGGAGGACAATGCCTTACGGCAAGGTTTACCAAGTTATCTCAATGATTGTGTTCGAGAACATGAGAATAAGCCGC